GGCCTTGGTGTCACTGAAACAGATTTTCTAAGCACCAATTTCATGTAAGTATCACTACCAATTTCCATTATTTTGAAATCTATACTACATAAGATGAATCATGAATGTGTATAGATATGACACATGCCAATTAGTAGATTTGATCTCCTCTGGGTTTTTCACCAGAGGCAGCTCAATTTCAATGTTGTGGATACGCAACATGTGCCCAAACAGGTACCAATGGATGCTACATGCTTTATCTATTAGTTTGCCTATATTTTGAGCAACAGTTGAATAGAATTGGCCTTCTCAAGAGGTTTTGAGATGTCGGTGGAGAAAAAGTTTTAAGAAAAGGTTGTCTCTAATTTGGGAGAGAAAATTTTTGTTTTGTTAATTTTTTGTTTGTGACATTCAAATAAAGTTAACGTTCATATCAGATTCAGTCTTCAGTGTGAATTTACCACTCCGGGCCACTATTGTAAATCTGCAGAATTCATTGCATGTGAAGGTCTCTCTCAAAAAAAAGTCTGAATTGTATATTACTACCCTATATGATCATTTTCTCCAAATATAAAATTTTTCCTGCAACTACAACAAAATTTGAGCTTGAGAGGGTTAATAAACCAGTTTGACAGTGATGATTTCCACATTTAAAGAAATGTGAAAATCATTATGATTACCATATACAGTATGGTGTTTAATAAGCTAACATTTAGTTGTGTGTTTTATTTTTCTTTACTTTTTGTGTATTTGACTTATATCTTTAACAGTCTTCTGAACTGAATAACAAATGTTCTTTTTAAGTAAACGGTGGTAAATACAAGTTTCTACGTCTTTCTGCTAATTTTTTATTCATTATTTATTTTCATTGCAGGAGTAATTTACATATACTATTGACTGAATAAAAAAAATTAAAATTAAAAAAAAATAAGTAAAACAAACTTTCAAAGTCTAAAAAAATGGATTTCCCTTAATAGATAACAAGAACTAGAATTAGGCTATTTTGAACTAATATTAAAAAACAAAGTAAGTCCTCAACGCGGGCGACCGGGTTCGAATCTGGCCTGTGGTCTTTTCCCGCTTGTCTCTCCCCTTCTGTCATACCCCCTTTCCTGTCAGCCTACTGTCCATAAAAACGAGCCACTAGTGCCAAAAAAAAAAAAAAAAAAAAAAAATCAACCTAATAAAAATAACCACAGAAAATTTAATTTGATATATATATATATTATAAAAAACACCAAAAATGTTCTCACACAAGATCAACAAACGGTATAGGTAAACAAAATGTTTGTTTAAGTGAAATTGTGTTGTTTTGTGATGAATTTCAGTTTATATTGTGTTGGCTAAATCAAATAAATAAAATAAGCACAAAATGCTGATCTCTTTAACAACGTCTAAGTCCTGAGCATGGAAAGTAAAAAAAAAAGGTCAGTGAAAAAAGTGATCATTCTCAAATTTACATAAAAACAAGAAAACGGGTTGGTCTTCTTACAGGGGTCTTTCACACTCAGATTTTTCCTTAGTCTGTGTCAGGGTCCATGCACAATGACTTCTTTCTGTGCTTATTAGTGTGAGAAATACCTCGACTGACAGAATCACATTTGAAAATGAAGGGCATTGATTCAACAAACAGTTTGCATTTGTTTTTATTGTTGACTATTAAAAGTAGCTCCCAACATGAATCACTACTGTACAACACACTGTGCAGACAGACAGGGGAAACTCACGGTCTAGGTGGGCAGCAGTGTGCAGCACAACATTTGTGAGATGTTCAGTTATGTCTGGCAAGTTTGATTTAAGGTTAGTGTATAGTGAAGCTTGCTCCAAAGCATGCCAAGATCACAACAGCAGCCTCAGCTGCAGATTTAGCAGAAAACAACATAGGTTCTAAGTTGTTAGTTTTAGTTTTGTTCTTCTGATTAAAATATGAAAACAGAGGCAAGTCCACTTTGGATTCAAACAAATTTATTCAAACAAGAACATTTGTTCGGCAGAACAAGGACAAGGAAACAGAACATTTGAATACATTAATACTGTTACTAAGAAAAGCGCAGAGCAGATTCCATTTTTTTATGAGTTTATTTTCATAGCAAGAATGAAAGAAAACATTAGCAGTGATAAACTTTATGGATCCAGGAACAAACGGATTATAGGATTAAAAATAAGAAAGAAAAGAACGTCGAAGCAGACATCAGAACTATGCAAATCTATTTGAGTTTACAGAACTCTGCAAAGGATCCCTCTGACCGAATCCGAACTCCAGCATGTAGCGGCTGAGTGAATGTGGTCTGGACTCTGTGGAGGAGAGTCATGGTTTCAGAGACGCTGTAGAAGGACAGAATCCCTGCTGAGTGATCCAGGTACACTCCTATTCTAGAGGAAACTGGACCTGAGATGGAGGTCCAGATTTTGTTGTGACCAAATCTAGACCGGGAAGAATCTAGTGCCCAAGATTCATTATTACATCCAAATTCACTGTCATTCCTTATACTTTTGTATGCGACTGCAACATAAACTCTTCCACTGTATTCCACCTCCCAGTAACAACGGCCAGTCAGAGTCTCTCTATTCAGAACTTGCCACCTATCAGTGAATCTGTCTGGGTGAGAAAATGACTGAATAACACCGATCCCTGTGACCTTCCTGTTCCCCTCTGATAACTTCAGGTTAATGTGTGCTCTGTTTGGATCCAGTGTGATTTCACAAGAGTGTTTTAAGAATTCAGCTCTTCTCTTTGGTTCTGAAAGTAAAACCTCCTCCCCAGTGATTGTCAATGAGATGTTTGTCCATGTGTCTCTCAGAATGTCCTGTAGTTTATCTCTGAGCTCTGAAACAGCTGCTGTCACATCCTCAAAGTGTCTCAGAGGACGGATATTGATGCTGGATGAGTGTGTAGACTCACTGAGTGCTGACAGTGAGGGGTAGCTGTGGAGAAACTGGTTGTGATACTCTGAGTTTAAGAGTTGCTTCATCTGAGGTCCTTTGTCATTCTGCTCAGTGATCTCCTGCTCCAGCTT